CAAATTACTTGGACCAAATTATTTAATTTTCTGTTAGAAATTAGTTTAAGACTCATCTTAAAGGAAAGTGCGCTGCAGCCTTCTTGAGCTTCGTCTTTCTGGTTTTGAAAAACAGAATTCCTAACTTTGTGGAGTCTGGCATGAGTTAGTTTTTATAGATGACTTTCTTCTATCTTGACCACTGTTCCGAATCAGATCTAAATATTAGTATACTTAGAAAAAAATCTGCTTAAATGAAATTAGGAAAAATATGCTTTTTCATTTGTTCACTTTTTATCTTATCAAATCAGGTTTTCATCGAATAATATTTATCATCAAGTGGGTATGTTGGTTTATCTGGTGCTCTTACTATGAACCAATTCTCATAGATGGCTAGGAGCTGATGTCTACAAATTAAATTTAGTAGAAAGTAAAAGAAAAAGCAAATCAGGTCAGACCTTGGAATACAGCATAACGTGACAATCCTTTTCACTCAAGACCGTAATGAAGCATGCTACTAATTTGAAGCAGAATGATCTGCAAAATCCTAATAATCTAACATACTGATAGTAGTGTAAAATTGTCTTGCTTGTAGGGATGAACTGAGGGGAAGCATGAATCATGATAATAATATGTTTTAAGACCAAAAGTGGAGGAGAAACAACTAATAAAAAGCATTACTGTATTGTCATTTAATATAAGTTTGGGCTTATGTACACCATTGAGCCTTTCACTATTAGACATCTAAAGATTCCATGTTTCTCTGTGTTATGTGTACATATCTAGTGAAAAAACTAGCTGCCAAGGCCACAGAGGAGTGCAGCATAATGTATTTCCATTAGCACATTTCATGTGTATCCCCTATAATAAAACATTCAAGAAATTTCCCACTGTATTTACATGGCTGGGAATAAAGGTAGAGAATGCAATGTGAGCTCCTTTCCTAAGTGCATGGTGAACATGACTTGTGCAAATTTTTAATAGCAGCTCTGCTCTGAGTCACTTGACCAGGATAGAAGGAGAACTGGGCTTAAGTATGGAAGAATCAGACGTATTGTAAGCTGCTGGCCAACTGCTTCTCCCATTGTAGGATATTTTTTTCTGGCTGGATATAACTCATTTCAGACACAAACTTTCTTTTGCCAACTCCTGACAGTGTGCCAAATTGGTCCCATTCTGTTCTTAATGGATAAATAGAAGGAACTATTGGTCAGATTCAGTTTTAGCTTATTTTGTTCCATCCAGACATTCTTCAGGTATTGGGGCAGGAGAATAACATCATTTCCTGTCTGACCCATGGTGATGTATAATGTGATGTATAGTTGGGTATCATCACCATATGCTAAGACATCAGCCTTGTAGCATTGGGAATACAGATGTTTGGCCCTTATTATATAGTGGATTGAAGATCTGGTGTTCCTTGTGAATGAAGAACATTTTGCATATGGATATAAGATTATGCGTAGATGAATGATGAAAAATGGGCCAATAAGGAATAAAGAAAGCGATGTCATCTCTGAACCAGTGGATAACCTGGAGCAGCAGCTTCATGTTGACATTAAAAAGCAGCAGAAAAAAATACCCGGTCCTGGAATTTTTCCTGGTTCCCACCTCCCTCAAAGGAGAAGTTGTCTTGCCGTCCTCTCTTTCCTCTATATCAATTGGAAATGCCAGCTAAGGAAAGAGTGGGGTAATTGTAATACAAGACCTCTCTTAGCTGGTTCAAAGGGGATACCATAGTTGATGGTGCTGAAAGCCACTGAGAGCCCAGGAAGCATTTGCCACTTTTATTCATAAAACAGCAAACCTGAACTTTGACTGAAACAGGTTCAGATAGCCTCCTATCTCTAAACTTCTCCATGGCTGTCCAATGACCACAATCTCCATAACCTTTATCCTGAAAAGAAAAGTTAAAGACTGGGTTATAGTTATTAAGGACTGCTTAGTCCTCAGATAGGGCCTCTAAAAGTGGAGATTTACCACAGCCCATATAAAATTGCGGGCAACACCACTTCCTGAAGCAAGGCATTGATAATTTTCTGGAGCCATTTTATCCCCTTTCATATTTCAAAGTGGGCAGGAAGGGAATGGCTCAAGTTCTAAGTGTTAAAAGCCTCTTTTCTTTTTAAGAGGCCAAATTGAATTCTATTTAATTAATATTTAGAAAGAGCAATTATTTTTTGCAGCACATAGAGACTTTTAGATTTGTTGCAGAGTTGTAACAGGGTTGGGTGGACTACAAATATAAAATTAAACACATGGAGTCTAATCCAAAACCACAGAAAATGTAATTTTTTTTTAAAAAGTGCCAGAGGACATGCTGTTAATTTTGATGTAATAGATTAACATATCTGCTCTTTGTGCCAAGAGCAGTGGAATTTAGTTGGCTTCACGATTCTGAATGGACAACAATAGAATAAAAGGAAAAAGGAACTGAAATTCTTGATAATTGAGAAGGAAGCATTCTAACCTTATCAGTGATATAGTATTATCTTGTGTCGTCTTCTGTCTCCGTATAAGCTACCTCCCCAAGGCCAGTTTCAATTCAGGTAATCAGGTTAAAGATATCTACTCCGACAGTGAGCATATCAATTTGTATTTTGTACTTTGCATTCTGCATTTTTAGAACTGGGGTTGGCAATTACCAACCATTGTATTATTGGATAACAGGTCATAGGATCAATATACATACACCTTCAGTCATCTGTGGTCTTCTCCTCTTTGAATAAACCAATTATTATGGCAAGAAGTAAAACTGATAAAATTTAAAACTGGTAATATTTAGAAAGGTGCAATGTAACTTGTCATATGCTCAGGTGTGAAATAGATTTTAAACTCACTGAGTTCAATGGAGCTTACACAGGTTCAGCCTAAATATATATTTTATACTGATTTTACACATTTAAATATATAAAAGGTTAATAAGCTTGATGTAAAGTTGAATTATGACCAAACAAACAACAGCACTTTTTGAAATGATGCCTCCCTCCTCCTTTCACCCTGCTTAATCAAATCTGTCCCATATTTTGGGATTCCTTAGAACAGATGTTAAGATGCCTGGAGATTGCAGAGGAAATGGAAGCTTGCTTTTTTCTTGATACCATCCCATGAACTGACCGATTGAATTCAATCCTAATTTTAATTCTGAAAAAGAACTTCTGTATCTTGAAATTGGAATGAATATGTTGCAAACAAACTGGGTTCACTTAGTCACCCTAAGTGCACATGCATAGCATCAGTCACTTGTGGAATTGGTTGTCCCTTTGTTTTTATTTCATGATTTATGGCTAAAGTAACTTTCAGATTCTGTGTATGTTTGTGTATTTCTGTGTATATATACTGAATTTCAGCTATGTATGGCTGAGTGCACAGAGTAGGTCCAAGTTGTAAAGGTCACTTGTTTTGATATGAAGCTAATGGGAAGCAAATATCTGTAGAAGTGCAAGAGGGATGGCCTCATACAGGTTGCTAAGCAACAGACCACAAGAATTTGTTCACTCACAAGGCCATGTCGCCTGTTCAGTTTGTTTATGTCAAGCGCTCCACCACCCAGTATGACAAACGAAGGTAAGGTGGTGGGGGGAAACGTAGCATGTCTCTTGTAATTCTCCATTCTGCTTCTGGTAGATAATGGTTCTACACCCTTGCTCTTTTTGTCTCTCCTCCCTTAAGGGAAAAAAAAAGCAGAAGACTGGCTGGCTGCCAATTATCACCTTTCCAAATCAGATTGTGCTTGGTTTCGGTTAGACTGCCTGACTGACATGGAATTTGTGGAATTCCACTTTGCATGTGTGGAATTTAGAACAAAACCTCTTTCATTAAAGTACAAAGGCCATCATGTTCAAATCATTAGTTTTACGACATGCTCGTGGGACTAATCATTGCCAACTTGGGCACTGAGTTTCGTTAAACTTTCTTTGATATTTGATCTGTGTTTCAGAACAGGTGGATAACATGCATCACTTTTTCAGAAATAGTAAAATATTAAACTTGCCCCACAGTTAGAAAGATGAGAGGGCATTAGCCTTTTGCTTGAATCCATTTCCCGGCCATAGCTACTATTAACTAGTTACTGGTTAATAGTGTGTTGCAGTATAGATTACCCAGAAGAAAACACCTTAATCTCAATTTACTATCAGTAAACCAGACTTTGACCTGTATCTATCAAGTGTTCTTGAACATAGTTGCTGCCATTAGCAAAGATATAACCTAAATGCAAAATGCATATGAATTAGTACGGAATTATATGGTAACTTTTGACTTTTGTTTCCCTTTGCATGAAGGCATCAGGCCTGCAGCCAGTTCCTTTTAGGATCTTTGGCCTGCCACACTCTCTGCTTTTTCATTAGTGGGGAATTGGGAGGGGGAATAGTAAGGAGTAGAATGTGTGTTGTCAAAATAAAAAAAAATCCTTCCTAGAAGCCCAAGGTCATCCTTTGTCTCTGCACCTCTGAGCCTGACTGGAACTGGATGGGTGGAACTGCCAGTGGGGCAGTGAAAGATTGGACCATGTGATGGACTTGTCAGGGTGGGGACAAGTTCATGAACTTTCAACTGGGTGGAAAACCCAGGAAACTTTCAGATTCGGGTTTTCGACAGATGTGCCAACATGGCTCTCTTAATAAATTGGAACTTTGAGGATTACTTTGCCTTGAACTCTGATTTAATTTTGGATGATATTTGGAACGCTGACAGTAGGGTCCCTCGTTTTATAAACCTGGTCTCCCCTGTTTTGTGAATATGTCTCAGTGATCTCTATCTCAAATCACCAGGAGAAAAATAATATAAGGCAACTCATATATTCTTTCTCTAACCGTGTTTACATGGCTCTATAATTCAGGCTTATATAATTAGAGATAGCATAGTAGCTGAAGGAAGGATCTGAAAATATGTCAGTGTAGTGATAAATATATACATTTTTAAAAGTATATATATTGAGTTTTCAATTCAGCAGAGATATATTTTGCTTACATGGTCTTTGTTAGTGCAATTGACAATGAAAACATTTATGTCTTTTACAGTACTATTGCTTGAGAAGATAGAAAATGATGATATTCACAACAAAACTCTGAAAATCACAGATTTTGGCTTGGCAAGAGAGTGGCACAGAACAACCAAAATGAGTACTGCAGGCACCTACGCTTGGATGGCTCCTGAGGTCATTAAATCATCCATGTTTTCTAAAGGAAGTGACCTTTGGAGGTAAAGTGTATAAATGACTTCTGTATAACTAAACAAAATTTAAGTCAACCTTATGTTCAATGGTTTTCTCCTAGTATGCATGCAAAATAACCTTAATAGGTTCTATTTTTTATTGGCAAGGACTTTTTTAAAAAATAGGAGATGCTTAATTTTTAGATTTAAACAGTAATTGTATAGTGTTTTTAAACCATAAAGGATTTCAAAGCAGTTCACAATAATAAACAGGTTCTGAAACTCTTTGAAGCCTACACAATTCTAGATGTGGAATTTTAGGCATTACTCTGTGGCTTTCGTGATAGGAAAAGGGACTTTTCCGAGTACAATAATTCAAAAAACTCTTCCATGTGTTTAGTTACAGTTTCTTTTACTTTATAAATGTTGCGTGTGGAGAATGGTACACATAGTTCTTAGCCATAGGACTGTTGGAGACAGTACAGGTAGTCCTCGACTTACAATACTTCATTTAGTGACTGATCAAAGTTACAACGGCACTGAAAAAAATCTTATGACCCTTTTTTACACTTATGACCGCTGCAGCATCCCCATGCTCACATAATCAAAATTGATGCACTTGGCAACTAGTTCATATTTATGACCATTGCAATGTCCTGGGGTTATTTTGTGACCTTCTGACAAGCAAAGTCAGTGTGGAATCCAGATTCACTTAACAACTGCAGTGATTCACTTAACAAATGTGGCAAGAAAAGTCGTTAAATGGGGCAAACCCATTTACCAAATGTTTCACTTAGCAACATAAATTTTGGGCTCAATTGTGGTCATAACTCGAAGGATACCTGTAAGGTTTAATATGGATCTGTTTTCTACACAACATGCTTAAATAACCCAAAGGCCCTTGCCTCCTTCCAATCTTTTTGCTGGAAGATGAGAAGGCATGTCTGGAAGGACAGTTCTTCTTCAGGCCAACAATATTCCAAAAGTGATCCAAAACACTATTTAATTAAGTGGATGTATGCTGTAATAAATCTGATACTCGTGTATTAATAAAGGTGTGTTGAAATAACTCTTCAAAAACATAATAACTAGTGACAAGACAATATGAATTCCGACATTAAAAAGTAACATTTTATGCCAAGAGACAATGTTACCAAATTTAATTATGGAGAGTAAGCCACTTTGTCAAATTCTCTGGTTTGAGCAGTTGTTCTGCCTTGGCTTCTTGGTTTGGATATATTACTTCCAATTTTCAAGTTTTATAAGCTGGATCAGAGATGGTGTCAAACCCATGTTTTTTTTTAAAAAAAAAGCGAAATAAACATAGGGTTTATATATTCTTGTTTATTTATTTAGCGTATGGCAAATAACATGGAGTTGAAATAATTCAAATGTTAATATCCAGTCCACCCAGCCATTCAAGGACAGGGTGGTCTGTGTTGAAAAAAACAGACATTGGGCTGGTGTAAGCTCTTGATGGACATTCAGACATAATGTGATGGATATTTTGTTGAGGACCATCACAGTCACACTGAGGGGTAGAGACGAGTTCCCCACTTAAACAATGAGTCCTGAAAGACACCATGTTGGGTACGGATCCTGTTAGAGTTGACCAAGGAAGGTCAAAACCTGGCACCTTTTGTGTAGGGTCATCTACGCAACTTCCTGTATCTGGGCATTTAGTAGCCCATTTGGCTTTCCAAAGTTGTTAAACAGCTGTTGAGCGAGGGCTTCCTGCCAATTGCTATATTCTTGCAATGCAATTGCCAAGAGGCCTTCTAAACCTTTAACTTCTACTGCATATTACCATACTTGTTATCCAAACCAGGTGGTTAATGGAAATAAGCTATGTCAAAAAAAGTTTAAACTATTGTTTGTTTAATTGTGCTTTGTTAAATACACTGTCTTATTTGACATACTCCTAGTTCACTTTCACACCTGTTCGTATCCCACACCTATGTGAATTGGTGGGTAGAGCATAAAAATCAGCAAGGAGTCCACCAGGAATGCACAAACCCTGTGTCTCCAAGCAGTAGTTTCCTCTCTGACCTCTAGCTGCTCATCCAGCTAATCCAAAAGCAAGCCAATCCTCTTCTGTGGCCTTGCAAAGTATACATTCCACTTCACAAAACTAAATTTGTTCCCACTAACGTTTAAAGCTTTTAAAATTCATAACATGCTGATTAATCTGAAATAAAAGCAAAACCTTCTGAACTCCCCTCAGCTATGCTAGTAGCCAGGACCTAAACCTAACGTTTGCATGTACACGCTTGTAATTCTAAGCCATGATTTAGAATAACATCTAAAAGCAGCCACGAGAGACAGCAAGTCTACCCAGAACACAGAGATTATTTTGCAGACAGAGTCTATACAGCTTCAAGCTCCTCTACAAAGCCTCATGGGTCAGGTTTTCTTTCCTTAAAAGAGAAGAAAGTGAAAGCTGATAATTAAAAACTCTGAATTCCCTTTGTGCTTCTTTGCTCCTCTTGCTTCTGCTGTACACCCTTGATTATTATTTTCCCTGTAGCAAGAAAATGCAGAAGCTTTTTTGTTATTTTTATCTTCACAATTCTTTGATCTTTAAAAAGAGAAAAAACATTGCACACACGTTTATTCTTAACTTGTTGCCTACTAAAGTTAGATATTTTTTTAAAGCATTCCACCATAGGAAATTTCTTAAAGTTTTTATTCATCCATTTGCTTAGGAACAATTTCATTTAATTCTTTTTGAAGGTGAATCAAAATGTTCTTACCACTATGGCCCTAGTTGCATATGGAAGGGAGGGGTTGCTGTTGGTTCAGTTTCAGCATAGTTACAATGCAGGAAGATAAACTTTCCCCCTCCCCCTAAAAAAATTAACTGCAGGCCCCAGTTATCTTCTGTAATCATCATGCCATTTGGGAATGAATTTCTTTTGAGGCATTGCTAATACTTTGACATTACTTTTGATTCTTGAATATTTGCTTTCCCTGCTTTTTTAATCTTGCATTTTCTTAAGTAATTATGCAAAGTAAATATACAAAGATGGAACTTGATTTCTGCTTTAGTAAGGCCCTTGAGGGAGAATCTGGTTGTGCTGTTCTGATCTGCCTGATATGCCCTTCCCCCACACTGAATTGATAGTATACTGGCACTTAAATGGAGATGAAGCCTGTGTACATCTCCCATAATCCCTGAAGCTTTTGGCTAAATCAACAAAAGAAGCACTAAGACTGATTTCTTGTTTAAGGAAGGGGAGTAATGATGACATGCTGAGGCCTTCCATTTACATACAGATATAGCAAAGCAGAAACGGGTGCCATTGGCTGCATGTTACATTCATTGCTAGTCTTTCTATATAATGCTTCAAATCACTCCTAATGCTAATGGCGTTTACTAGGCTCTGTCATCTCAACTCTGAAGACATTTCATTTTCAATCCTTATGGGTTGATTGGCTCAAATACACTATTTCGAAAAAAAATCAAACAACTTCCCTCAAGGTCAAAAACATTTTGGAAACCAGCTTGACAAAATGTCCCATCTAACACCATAAGATCAGTGGTGAAATTCAATTTTTTTTACTACCGGTTTTGGGGTATAGCTTGGTGGGCGTGGCGAAGGATACTGCAAACTCTCCATTCCCACCCCACTCTGGGTTCAGCCAGAGGTGGTATTTGCCAGTTCTCCGAAGTACTCAAAATTTCTGCTCCTGGTTTTCCAGAACCTGTCAGAAACTGCTGAATTTCGCCCCTGCATAAGATCAACAAGCCCCGTGAAAAAGAAGTTGATAATTTGTTCCCTTTTGCAACTGAAAAATAACTAAATTTCAATCCACTTCAAGTAAAGTTTTACAGAACAACATTAAAATACAAATGTGGGTGGATATTATTCTGGGGGAAAATCCTGGGGGAATGAATAATTTAATTGTCTGCATAATAAAACTTTTCTGAATTCAAATATCCTGGAGGTTTAATATGTTTCATTTTGCTGCAAGTGCGTATAGTATCTAATCTACTTTTGGGAGGATGCAGACCATTGCAATGCCATTGTGATTGTGCATCCTTTCTCAGTTTGATGCTTGTAAGATATATAGAAGTTTAACTTTCTTTAAACAGCAGCATAGAAGTTGGGGGTTATAGGAAGTCTGAATGCTATTTTCTCCCCCTACTAGAATACTTTCTAGGCAGACTGCTGTCCTTCCCTACCTTAGCATTACACAAACACAATTAACTGTTTGAAAATTTATTTATAGCTATGGCGTATTGCTGTGGGAACTGCTTACGGGAGAGGTTCCTTACCGTGGCATTGATGGTCTTGCTGTGGCTTACGGAGTTGCTGTCAATAAGCTTACTTTGCCCATTCCATCCACCTGTCCTGAACCATTTGCTAAACTAATGAAAGGTACTTGTGCTGCTTATTAAGGCAGCTGATGTAAGATTGCTTGCATGTTCTCTATAATATATGTGACTCTTAATCTCAGTGTTTCGTTCAATTCTAGGCTAACTTCTACTCAGAGTCAGAAAACATTTTCCCATTCCACTACTTTAATGTGCTTGGCACGGGTGTATTAAATATGTGGTTCATTATTATTTTTTTGAAAGTTGCATTCACCTTTGGAAGTACTAACCTGCTTGTTGAGTCAATCAGTTACATTCTACCTTTCTTCCCAAAGAAGCTCATTGAAGTCTCACAGCAACTTGAAATATAGCTAGTTAAAAGAGTGTGAACTATCTAAATGCTATTTTGTGTTCCACCCAAATTCCTTGAGTGAGGATTTGAATGGGTTCCCGGGACAATAGCCAGTATATTATGTTTGGTCTGATAGGAAATCAAAAGACCTTGTCATTGGAGTGATAAAACTAGACAGAACATCAATCAGATGCTTTATCAGAATGCCACTCCTTTCATCATTCCAAAATTTAAAAATCACTAAAAAGTTATACCTTAGAACAAGTCATTGTGAAGGGGAAAAATGAGATTATTTTTTTTTAAAAAGCAAGAGAACATGAATACACAGGCTCAGTAGCTCTCATCATTCCCATTGCACATAGCACGTGAGATAATCTAATTACTATTACTAATTTACTTTATAGCCTGCCTTTCTGCCCAGAGACATGTATTGGATGTTCCTATGATCTGTTTGTCTTTTTCCAACCCCAAAAATAAGCGCTTGGCCTTATTTTCAGGGAAGTCTTAATATTTTTGAGGTGCAGGAGGCAGCGAGTGTGGTCACCTCATGGCTGCTGCTGTGCTGCAATATTTTCAGGGAGGGCTTATTTTCAGGGGAGGGCTTATTTTAGCACATGCGTTCAAAAGCCCGATTGGGCTGATTATCTGGGGAGGTCTTATTTTCAGGGAAACAGAGTATCCCTTTTTGAAAGTGAAAGGATCACAGGCATTTTGAAAATCATGCTTATAACCCCCCATGCATACATACATTCAATTCATATGCTCCGGTTGTAATATTCCACTCCTAGGTTTATATGTGATTACCTTTTGGAAACTGTACTAGGAGGACATCAAGAAAGTTCTCTGTTGATTTTTGTCAAATATTCCTAGAACTTCTTCATGAGAGAGAAAAGTATCTACTGCTGCTGTTGTTATAGCATTTCTGCAAGGTGGAGTTAGAGTCAGTTGGTCTTATACTTCTGACAAATGTAATTGATGAATTTCAGACTGCTGGGCACAGGACCCCCATATCCGACCATCATTTACTATGATTCTTGAGCAGCTGACTGCCATTGAGGGGGCTGTACAGACTGAGATGCCTCAAGAATCTTTCCATTCTATGCAAGATGACTGGAAACTGGAAATCCAGCAGATATTTGATGAACTGAGAACCAAGGAAAAAGTGAGTGAATTTTAAAGTACATTGAGCTTATGGGACTATACTTGTTTAAATAAGTTTTGGATAATCATTGGGGCAGGAAGGGGAAGAAAATAGCTCAGCAATTAAGCAGCTGAGTTTGTCATCTGGAAAATTAACAGCTCAGGTTTGAGCCCAGGAGCAATGTGCGATGGGACGAATTCCTGTTACAGGCCCCAGCTCCTGCCAATGTAATAGTTTGAAAGCATGCAAATGCATGTAGATAAATAGGTACCACTTCAACAGGAAGGTTACTGCATTCCATATTTTCATGCTGGCCACATAACAATGGAAACATGTCTCATACAATGCAGGTTCCCTCTGCAGGTAATGGGAGATGGGCACCATCCCCTTGAGTCAGTCATGACTGGACAGGGAAAACCTTTTAGACTTTTTTTGAAATAATTGGAACTCTTTAGCTTTTGTTCATTCTCATTTACTATCAAAATATTTAGTTCTTAAGACTGGCTTCCATTTTTGTAGTTATTAGAATCATTTTTTTAAAGTTCCTTTTCAGGACAAATAGTTTGAGTTTTTTAAATGTTTTGGAGTTCCAGTATGTTTTACTATGTTAATATTTTATCTTTTTATCTTTTAACTCTGAGCATCTTACTTTAATTATGATGCTAGTAGCTAGAGCCTGTTCTAAAATGGAGCAGTTCTAAAAATTACTGATTGTTACTTTTTTCGCATTGGGAATTGATTGAGGTAAGCAATTTTTGGAGCTAGTGGATGTGCTTGAAGTGGTCTCCCAACATAGCTGCCATTAGACTGTTATATGCATACAAGATAGAGTTTTGGTAGCCATTTGGAGAGCACCTTTTTTTTCCAGAAGACTGTTAATGAGTTGGCTGTCAATTCCCTAAAGCCTCCTGTGATGGTTCTTACCTCACTGTTTAGATTTGTCCTTTTTCTAAGTAAATATCACATTTTTCGCTCCATAAGACACACCGGACCATAAGACGTTGTTTGGCTCATTTCCGAATAGTGAATTGAGAATGCCTAGAATTTTAAGAATTAAACATTTGTGTTTGAGGCAAATGGGGGATCCAGATTTATTGTTATAATTTATACAATGCTGGAATTTGATGGATAAAACTTACTTGGTGTTGTGGTTTGCTAAGTCCCAGGAAACAACCAAAGTTATTTATATGTTTGCTTCAGTGACGTGCAGTGAGGTTTATGGCTGGTGAGGCACTCAGGGGTTTCAAATTTTTTTAGACTTGTGGACTTCAACTCCCAGAATTCCACAGCCAGGCATGCTTAGTTCCGATTGAAAGCGACAGCATTTGTTTTTCTTCTTTGCAAAAACGTTTCCTTCATTCTTTTTCTTCTCCCTCCCACTCCTTCCTCCCTCTCTCCCTCCCTCCCCCCTCTCTCAAACAGACACAC